TGTGTTTCTACATTCTGTGAGTCATGGAGAAAATCCCACTACCTTTTAATTCCACATTACCATAAACTTCTTGAAGCCCCCTGTTGTTCGGCCAGGTTGACTAGAGAAACAAATCCAGAGACACGCATAGATATGTATAAGAAAGAGCTCCATATGAAAGAGTGATTGTATATTAAGAAAACATCCCAGCCCAGTCCAGATCAAGTCCATAAGTCTGAAACTAGCCCATAAATTTCTCATCAGACTCATGCATCACATGCGATGATGCAAAATGTAGGAAGATCACAGGCCAGTGGGTGCAAAGTCTTATGGATCCAGTGGCAGTAGAAGCATCTCCAGGGCTTTTGCTGGTCTCAGTGTGGCTCCACCTGGCTTGTCAACAAGAAGGTGAAGCAGAGAGAGAGGGAGGGACTGGACTCCAGTGAGCCATTTATCTCGGTGGCCCTCCAAATCAAGCTGCAACCTGATTGGCAAGCTAAGCTCCACCCCTTCATTCCAAATACCTTCAAGCTGACATGAGATTATGTAACAACCACACCCCCATATATATATAAACCAAACCAAACTCACTGCCACTGAGTGGATTCTGACCCATAGCAAATCTATGGCGCCCAGCAGAACTGTTTCACAAGGCTTCCAAAGCTGTAGATTTTTACAGACTTGACTGCCTTGTCTTTCTGTCACAGAAGGACTGGTAGATTCGAACTGCCAACCTTTGAGTTAGCAGTGGAGCCCTTTACCCACTGCCACCAGGACACCCTCTATGAATACAGAGAGAAATCTTTACTCCAGGGGATTGGCTCATGTGATTGTTGAAGGTGGCAAGTCCTAAACTGAAAAGTCAAGTTCCAGGTCAGAGACTCCTGCAGGCTTGCAAGACTGTGCAGGGGGCTGGCAGGTGCAAACTCCGGAGGTCTATCCTTAGCCTAGGGACTTCGCAGGTGTGGATCCCAAAACCCTTAGGTCAAGAGATGGCTACAGCACAGAACAAAGCCAGGAGAAAATTCTGTCAAAATACCTATGTATAGTCTAAGGACACTACTTCCTTTCCAGTGGAGTGATTCCATTACCTGCGATCGTACAATGGGAGGTGATTAAGTTCGTGAGGGTTGTATTATATTTAGTAACTGCAGTTAGACTAGTGTTTGGTCAAACCATAGCATAGCCAAGTTGACACACAAAATGAATCCTCACAGTAGCAACAAACTTTGTTAACATCTCTGATTTTTATTCTAAGCTCTAATCTGGGTTTTAATTTTTTAAATCATTTTATTGAGGGTTCGTACAATTCTTATCACAATCCATACACACATCAATTGTGTCAAGCACATTAGTACATTTGTTGCCATCATCATTCTCAAAACATTTGCTTTCTACTTGAGCCCTTGGTATCAGCTCCCTATCTTTCCCCTTCCCTCCCTATTCCCCCCTCTCTCATGAACCCTTGATCATTTTATAAATTATTATTATTTTGTCATATCGTACACTATCCGATGTCTCCCTTCACCCACTTTTCTGTTGTCCATCCCCCCGGTGGGGGGCGTTACATGCAGATCCTTGTAATCAGTTCCCCCTTTCTACCCTACCTTCCCTCCACCCTCCAGGTATCACCACTCTCACCACTGATCCTGAAAGGATCATCTGTCCTGGATTCCCTGTGTTTCCATTTTTGACACCCCCTTACTGAAGGGTCGCAGGGAGGAGACGAGCCAGTCATGGTGCAGTGTAGCAACGATGAAACATGCAACTTTCCTCTAGTTCTTAAATGCTTCCTCCCCCCCACTATCATGATCCCAATTCTATCTTACAAATCTGGCTAGACCAGATGATGTACATTGGTACAGATAGGA